CCAGGAGCTCCCTCTGCAGAGCTGGTTGATGGTGCCACCTCAAACACATTTTGCCAAAACCCTTTTACCTGCTGGTGTGTTTTATCCTTCCTGGGGTAGGAGGGTCCTATGGGAATAATTCACACAGGACTCCATTTTCTTCATGGTGAAAAAAGGCTGTTCTTTATTCACATCACTCCTTTTTATACAGTGTTACAGACCTCATGTGGGACTCCAGTTAGTCACTAATTTTCTTGCCAATTACTTTATTGGTTAGTAACAAGTTGTTATCCTGTATTGATTAGTCACTCACACTCTCTATACCTGCAGGGAAGTTGTTTGTAAATAATAGTTTTTATTTTTCTATCTAACGTGCAAAAACAATTCATACAGGTGCAAGTTGGTTTTTTTACCCAGGAATAGATTGTTATGTTAATGAACTGCTCACACCAGGTTGCTTTGACATGGGAACTTGCAAAATGCTGGCTTTGACAAGGCCAGCCACTGATTCCAGGAGAGCAGGTTTGATTTTATGAATCCTTTCTGTATGATTTTTCTCCCTGACTGCAGCAGAGTCCTGCCCCTCTTTGCCCGTGGCAGCTTGCAGGATGGCAGGATGGGGCAGTGCTCTGCCCCCAGCTGGGGCAGCTCTCCTGCTGCAGTGACATGGGGCACCCTGGGTGCTCCTGTGCCATGGGAATGCCAGTCCTGCTCTGAGCTGCCCCACAGCACCTGCTCTGGGAGAGGGGCTCTTGGGCTGGGTGTGGTGGGTATTTCTGCCTAGGAATTGGACTGGGTACAGTGGGAAATAACAGCAAAAGGCACAGCCTGAGCTGGGGCAGAGAGGAGCAGAGCCCTGAGCTGCTCAGCACCCAGCTCTGCCCCTGCCCACCCCGGGGTGCCAGCACAGCAGGAGGTGGGGCAGGGAGGGGGCCAGGCAGAGCCTGTCAGCCTGAACACATGAAGGTGTGCTCAGTGCTGCTGTGTCACATTCAGATAATCCCATGAACAGATGAAATATTTTTTTGCTCTTTATTTCATGCTTTATAGATCATCCCTCCCCAGAAACGTGGTGTTTGTTGTCAGTTAAACAAATCCTGGCCTGTTGTTCAGATGTATTTTATTTATTCTTTTGCATGAGAACTGGCAGTGTCTTGCCTGCCTGTTTGGCCAGGCTGGTGATCCCACAGTTGTGACTTCCTGTGTTTTCCAAATAATATCCACAGTATGGCTGTTGTTGAATAGAGAAAAGATAAGGTATTAATATTAATGGATGGATTAAAATACAGCTGAGGATTCCCTCCCCAGCCCCGTGGATTTCAGTGACTCTGAGTACAACCATGTGGCTCTGTGAGCTGAGTGTGTCAGACCTCTGTGCTGAGAATGCTGGGTCTGCCTTGGTCTCTTTTCTTCTCATCACATTACCAAGATGTGACAGTGTGGTACTGTGTGGTATTAATGCCTTCACATCATCAGTGCTCTGTCTGTGTGACTGTCTCAGTGCTAGAGGAAGTCCCTTCATTTCTGGAAATGGCCACAGTGTGTGCCAGCCTGCCCGCCATGAACAGATGAAATATTTTTTTGCTCTTTATTTCATGCTTTATAGATCATCCCTCCCCAGAAACGTGGTGTTTGTTGTCAGTTAAACAAATCCTGGCCTGTTGTTCAGATGTATTTTATTTATTCTTTTGCATGAGAACTGGCAGTGTCTTGCCTGCCTGTTTGGCCAGGCCTGTGATCCCACTGTTGTGACTTCCTGTGTTTTCCAAATAATATCCACAGTATGGCTGTTGTTGAATAGAGAAAAGATAAGGTATTAATATTAATGGATGGATTAAAATACAGCTGAGGATTCCCTCCCCAGCCCCGTGGATTTCAGTGACTCTGAGTACAACCATGTGGCTCTGTGAGCTGAGTGTGTCAGACCTCTGTGCTGAGAATGCTGGGTCAGGCTTGGTCTCTTTTCTTCTCATCACATTACCAAGATGTGACAGCGTGGTACTGTGTGGTATTAATGCCTTCACATCATCAGTGCTCTGTCTGTGCGACTGTCTCAGTGCTAGAGGAAGTCCCTTAGCCTCTCTCTGGAAATGGCCACGGTGTGTGCCAGCCTGCCCATCACACTCAGAGCACTCATCCAGGCTGCCCTATTTGAACACACAGAGAAGGTATTTTGTCTGAGAAAGAGCCATGTTATCTGTGTGCTGGTCACAGTTTGGGTGTTGAAAAGCCTGCTGGATGCCACTCTTCTGAAGGTTCAGCAGCTCCTGCCCATCTCCTGAGCAGCAGCCATCCCTTCTGGCAGGGATGTGTAACTCAGCAGGGCCTGGCAGCAGCTGCTGTGACCTGGTGTGTGCCCAGCTCTGAGTGAGATCTGGGTGTTTAATCAGCTCCCCTGCACAGGGCTGGCCAGGAGCAGGGCTGCAGCCACCCCCTGAACCTCCCTGCAGCAGGAGGAGCTGGGCCCAGCCTGTGTGCACTCCCAGTGCAAATGGGCTGCCCAAAGCAGCAGCAGAGCTCTTTGTGAGAGTGGCTACACCTGCCCTCACCCAGGGCCCAGCTGCTCTTCTGGAGCTGAAATCTGATAGCCAAGTCTGGAAAAATACACTTTTACATACACTCTCTTCCCTACTCTAGCTGTCACTGCTCTTTGCTAAAAAGCTGAGCCTTCTAAATTACTGAGAGTGCACTCAATCCCCTCATCCAGCTCATGGATAAATATATGTAGAGAATCACAGAGTATCTTGAGTTGGAAGGGACACACAAGGATCATCAAAATCCAACTCCTGGCCCATCCAGCTCATGGATAAATATATGTAGAGAATCATGGAGTATCTTGAGTTGGAAGAGACACATAAGGATCATCAAAATCCAGCTCCTGGCCCTGCACAGACACCCCAAGAATTCCTCTCTGTGTCTGACAGAGTTGTCCAGATATTCCTTGAGCTCTGGCAGCCTTGGGGCTGTGATCCTGGGAATCCTGTTCAGTGCTCCTCCACCCTCTGGGGAAAGAACCTTTTCCTGATATCCAGCCTAAACCTGCCCTGCCACAGCTCCGGCTCTTCCTGTGGGTCCTGTCACTGGGCACCAGAGAGAACAGAGGGGGAACCCTCAACCCTGTCATCACCATCATCAAAAGGCTCCCTCACATACAGGCTTCCCCCACTGCCTCTCCTTCCATGCCTGCTCCTTCTGAAGGATTTGTGGCCACCCACTGCAGCGCTCCCGTTGTGAGAATCATCCCACCACCTTGCTGTGGTGGCAGCTGTATCCCAGTTTTCCTTCCACACCAGGAGGAGTGGGGGCTTGGGCTCCTCCTGTTTGTTTCCCATCCTGTGTGCATTAGTGTGGATCCATGTTGGGCTGATCCCACCAGCTTTTTGGGGGACAGATTTCTACATGACCATTCTAAGGCACTTCTGTTGTTTTTAATACATCAATAACCTTTTTGGTTTTGCTGCCCCATGGATCCATCCCCTGCTTTCACAGAGACACACATAGCATCAGTGCACTGCATCCCACCCAGCTCTGGCTGCACACTGGCTGTGTGGATAAGTGGGAACCTCTCACCCTCTCCTTCCTCATCATCCTGTTATTTCTGTCAGAATGGAAACACTGCATTAAGCTGTTTCTGGTTCAGTGAAGGGGCATTTGCTATCCAAAGGCAGACTGCATTTCAATTTTCTTTCAAATGCCTCATTAACCCTCTTCTGATTTACTCAGTTGATGCTGATGCTGACGTTCTTTTCCAACGTGCATCTCTGTCTCCTTTGTGGAGAGGCAGCAGCAGCAACCCAGAGCAGGGGACAGCTCTGGGTGACTGAGCAGCCAAGGGGCGTGGGTGCCCTGTGTGCTGGGGTGTCACTGCTGCACAGCTGGGAGACCTGCCAGGGACAGTGGCTTTCCTACAGCTTTTCTCTTTCTGCTGTGTGTTTCCCATACTGTCTTCCTGTTGTCTTCCCATAATTCATCATTGCACCATTTTCCTGGAGAAAACCAGGCCTTCACTGTCACTCCACCATGCCAGGTCCTTTTCAGCAGAAGTCCAGTATGCACTCCATCTTCTTGGGAAAACCCTTGGTGTTCAGACAGTCCCAGGTACCCTCGGGCCCTGGGAACTCTGTGAGTGTGCTCTGGAGCTGTTGAAATCCAAGGGACGCTCTGACCTGATGAACCAGTGGCATCAGGCACTCCTGCTGTGCTGGCCAGCAGGCTCAGCCCTCAGAGACCCCACGGCAGCAGCACCCAGGTGTTACCTGGCCCCCCACAGCTCAGGTGGGAACGGTCAGCAATGGCTCCAGGCACAGCACCACTGAGCTCAGAGCCCCTTGCAGCTTACCGACACATGGCTTTGGTTTTGGTTTTTGATTGTTGGGGGTCCTGTTTGAGTGGAGCCTCTGTGGGCCCCATCAGTAAATAACTGTTATTCCTCAGTATAATTGTTTAAAACTCTACAGGAGTCTTATTTTAAGCATCTTAAGTGCTATGTTTAACCACCTTACAGGCTTCAGGCTCTATCCATTCCAGAGCAGCTCTGAGGACTCTGAATGCTTTTTCACAGAATTGACAGGATGACTGGGCTGGAAGAGACCTTCAAGATCACAGAGTCCAACCCAGCCCCAACACCTCAACTAAACCCTAGCACCCAGTGCCACATCCAGCCTGTTTTTAAAGACATCCAGGGATGGTGACTCCACCACCTCCCTGGGCAGGCCGTTCCAGAACTTTTTACTCTGAAGTATGTCTCTAAATATTGATGCTCAAGGTTTTGTTTCAAGGCTTTCCAAAGCAGAGCTGCACTGGCAGCACCAGAGCACAACCACAACCAAGGTACCACTGAGCCTTGTTTACTGGCTGAGGCAAAGCCAGCAGTATGAAATACCAGAATTTATGTTTTTATGGTGGTAACCATAGTGTGTGCAGCCATTCCTCATTGCTCATGGGGGTGCAGAGGCAGCAGGACGGGTGCCAGGGCTGGGGGCAGGCAGGAGGGACTGACGCTGTGCCCGCTCTGCCCGCAGCTCATCAGCGATGGCAGTGTGGTGTACGCAGAGGCCCTCTGGGACCACGTCACCATGGACGACCAGGAGCTGGGGTTCAAGGCCGGAGACGTCATCGAAGTAATGGATGCCACCAACAAGGAGTGGTGGTGGGGGAGGATTCTGGACAGTGAGGGCTGGTTTCCAGCCAGCTTTGTTCGGGTAAGAGCTTCATCTTTCTTTGTGCCCTCTCCATTAGCAGCAGGTGTTTGTTCTTCTCCAGGTTTAATGTTCTGTGGTGACTCCTAAGGACTTTCACTGCTAGAGATGGTTCAGCATGTCTTGTCAGTATTCCTCTACAAGGGGCTACAGTACAGGATGCCCTATTGTATTGTGCCTTGATGTTGGAAGGAATGATGAATCCCACTCCACATTCTCAGAAGGCTAATTTATTATTTTATTATACTATATTATATTAAAGAATACTATACTATATAATACAGAGAGGATACTTACAGAATGCTAAAAATAAATTATGAAAACTTGTGACTCTCTCCAGAGTCCTGACACAGCTTAGCCCTGACTGGCCAATAAGTCAAAATAACTCACAGCAAAATCCAATAAAACAATCACCTGTTGGTAAACCATCTCCAAACACTTTCCAAAGGAGCAAAACACAGGAGAAGCAAATGAGATAATCATTGTTTTCCCTTTTCTCTGAGGCTTCTCAGTTTCCCAGGAGAAAAATCCTGGGCAAAGGGATTTTTCAGAGATGTGAATGTGACAGTGCCCTCCTGGCTGAGCAGCCACCAGTCTAGAGAACTCCTCTACATGAGTAAATCAGGGCAAAAGGTTCAGCTCCAGACTGGAGCTGAGCTGAGCTGTGCCAGCTGGGGAGCTGCCCTGTTTGGTGGCTGCAGCCTGGCTCCTGCTGGCTCTGTACACTGGCTGATTTGTGCCCAAGGACATGGCATCCACTTCCAGGAGCAAACAGCCCTCTCCTGGAAGAATCCCCGATGCAAATCCTGGATTCTTCACTCCAGTGTCCACTTAGACAATAGAGATGAGCGTGGCACCACTGGCCCCTCTGCAGCTGGTGCTGGAGCCAGTGCAGGGCACCCACCTGGCTCACATGCCCCTCCTCAGCCACCAGGCTGCCGGGCTGTCACACAGCACTGCGAGCCAGGCACTCAGAAATGCAGGAGAAAAACACCAGAAATGTCTGGGCAGTGATCTGGGGCAATGTGAGACACTCCGTGCTTGTCCCCCGGTGCCAGCTTCAAAGCCCACACACAAGAGCTGTGCAGACCAGCCCAGACAGTGCCAACTGCACCCTGCGGAGGCTTCATTTCCAGCAGAGCTTTCTGAAACACATCTGAGCTCTCAGGGCAAGCCAGGAGTGTGGGAGGGTGGTAACTGCTGTGCTCGCTGTCCCGCTGTGAGCAGAAAGGCTTTTTCCTTTCTCCTGACCGGGACTGTGGGTGCCTGACAGCTTTCACCACCTCGGGGCAGGCTCCTCACTCTGCAAAGGCAGCGAGGTGCCTAAGGGCAGAGATTCTCAGCCCTTTAGCTCTTTATCCAGGTCACTTCAGATCACAAATGACCCAAAACCAGGTGAAGCATGAAAGGAGGTGACACGAGGTCATCCGGTGGCTGCAGCAAAAGTCATTGCAGAAGCGGGGCAGTTTTGAAATGCTTTGTTATAGGTTGCAGGAGTTAGTCTCAGCTGCATAATTAATACAAACAGCGGAATGTTTTGCAAATAAGATTACCAAGGCCTCAGCACTGCTTTTTCTTGCAATGAAAACACACAATTTTTTTCTTTAATGTTACTGATAAGTTGAATTGTCTTGGCTGGCAAAAACTTGTCAGAGTAAAGGAGACTCGTACTAGGCATTAGGGGTGCAGAGTAAGAAATTCTTTGAACAGAGGAATCACAACGTTTATTCAAGCATCCAGCTGAAGATTTCCCGCTAATTACCACTGGCTCTGAAGCTCACTGCAGGGAGGGCTGGTATGTCTGCAGGCTTGGCTCAGACTGCAGGGCTCTGTCACTCCACATCTGAGTTTCAGGCCGAGGTCTGAGTTTAAGAGCTGCCGATGTCCTGCTCACACTGGAGGAGAGCCAGGGTTGCACATCTTGAGGCTTCAGCAGTGAGTAAAGGTAATCTGTGCCTGTGTTACCAAGGGAGGGTATGCGCTGTGTTTTATGTGTAGCTGCATTTGTATCAAGAGGTAAGTCATAGAGCCTAGAAGAAACTACATTAAAAGTTTAAAGCAGTTCTGTGTCACTGAACTAAAAATTCCTATAATTATATGTTTTACCTTCCTACCTTTCGCTCCTTCTCTGTGCCGGGACGGATCCTTTGAGCCATGCACAGTGTTCCCAGGGCACTCAGCAGTACCAGGGAAGGAGCTCAGGTGCAGAGCCCAGCCCGTGCCCTCGGCCGCTGAGCCCTGTGCCCGTGCTGTGCTGCCATCTGATGGGGCACCGAGGCTCCCACACCGCCCTGCCCTTCTTTCCCACCGCGGTGCCCACAGGCAGCTGGTCTGCTTCTGCTTTAGCAATGAACTCTTTAAATAATCCTGAGCAAGCAGATACCGAGGGGCCATCTGCTACTGACACTATGAGAACGTTAAAGTAGATAAAAACCCAACCATTTGCTGGTTCTTCCCTCCCTCCCAAAGTGTCCCTTCAAATATTTAAGAAAATTTCACTCAATCAGCCATTTCTGTCCTGATTTTTTATGCATTATTCCTGAAAGACTCCATATTATTCCTGTAAATTCTGTCCACTAGAAATGCCTGCCTAAACCCACCCATGTCACGGTGGGAGCAGCTGCCCTGTGCTCTCCCCAAAGTGACTGTCTGGCCTCAGCCTCCCCGAGGGGAAATGTTTCCAGGCAATACACACCCCCTCCTCTCACCTTGTCCCAGCTCAGGGTGTGTCTGCCATGCAGCCACTTCCTTGGCAGAGCTGTTTAGCAGTAGGAGCAGTGAACATCTTGTGTGCCTCCCAGCTGCGGGTGAACCAGGATGAGCCCATGGAAGATTATCCCCTGAAGGTGGAGGGGGGCAAAGAGGACTTTGGGATGGGCCAGACCACCAAAGACCAAATGAGGACCAACGTCATCAACGAGATCATAAGCACAGAGAGAGACTACATCAAGCACCTGAAGGACATTTGTGAGGTAAGGAATAAAGGGGGAAGGGACTCTTAGAGCTTCTCTGAAGGACAATGGACTGTGTCCCATGCTTGCCCAGAAAGGGACCCTAACCAGGTAACTTTTCTGAAAATGAGACTGGATTTTCATCAGTTCTGCTGAATGCCAGTACATGGTTAGAAAACAGAAGACAATTCATTACAGCAATATCCCAAATGCCTCTGCATTTGGAGCACTCACTTGTGCTCTGATTAAATGGAATTAATTGAATTTCCCAAGCCAGAGAAAAGTAAATGTCTAGCACTGCTGTCCTCTCTAATGTGTGTTCTGAGGTAATATAATCAGCAACTCCAGCCTTCAGGCAAGCCATGCTCAGATCAAAACAAGTGGGAGATGCTCAGCCAGTTGGATCCTTTACTGTCAAATGGGCTGAATATTGTGACACCTCTTCTAAAAGAGATCCATCCTGTACACTGGGGGAGCGAGGGCAGCTGGAATTTTTGCAGGAACAGAATTCTCCACTGCAATGGTACAAAAGTGGCTCCCAGCAGAGGCAGCAGGGGCAAAGAGCACACACAAATAAGCCTCTCCTCTGCAGTGTCCCCCTGTCCCTCAGAGCTCTCCTTTGCTGCAGTCAGCTGGGCAGCTCCTCACACAGGCACCAAACCCAGAGGCAGCAGGGACAAAGAGCACACACAAATAAGCCTCTCCTCTGCAGTGTCCCCTGTCCCTCAGAGCTCTCCTCTGCTGCAGTCAGCTGGGCAGCTCTTCACACAGGCACCAAACTAGGTCCACACCTGGACTTAGCTGGTCTGAATCTACCAGTGCTGGAGTCAGAGCACCCCATTGCAGACACATAAAGGCTTTTTCAGCAAGAGAAAGCAGCTCTGTGACTCCTTCAGGTGTGGGCTGCAGCATCACCCAGGGCTGCTGTGTCTGTGGCAGCTTCTATCTGTACCAAGTTCAGGGTAACATGAGAGGAAATAATAGTTACAGATGGGTACAGGAAGGGAATGCAGGAACCTGGTGTACACCTGAGTGCAGTCCCTGAGGCTTTCTGTGCCACAGAGCAGATGCCCAGGAAGCTTTCCAATCTGGTTTTCTCCTAGGGTTACATTAAGCAGTGCCGCAAGAGAGCCGACATGTTTACAGAAGAACAGCTGAAGACAATCTTTGGGAATATTGAGGACATCTACAGGTGCCAGAAGAAATTTGTTAAAGCACTAGAGAAGAAATTTAACAAAGACCACCCACATTTGAGTGAGGTTGGCTCATGCTTCTTGGAATATGTAAGTAAACTTGACTTTATGGGAAAGGGGTAGCTGAGCATGGATTGAGCCAGAGGATTTAGAAATTGATCTGACAGAACTGAAGCTTTCTTTAAAAAGACCCATCCAACCAAACTAAATGCCACCACCCTCTATCCTAGCCGTGTTCAACCACTTCCCAAAGAAATACCCTGTAGCTCTTTTGGCTGTGGAAAGAGCATTTTCAAAGCACCTTATCTTCTGAACACTGTAATCCCTGCAGCCCTTGGTACTCCAGGGAAAATGTAGGAACACTCCAAAATCTTGAGTGGGACTGAGGTTACAGGAATGGTATTTTGAGGTCGGTGAAGGATCAGCTGTGGCTGGTGTGGGCACTCAAAGCATTCAGCTGAGCCCAGAGCAGGGTATGGGGGAATGTCTGGGTCTCTCACATGAAGCTGTGACACACCCTGCCAGCCCCCAGCTTTAGAACTCCAGGCCTGAGAGCCTGTGGAGGATACAAATCAGTAAACAGCTCCAGTCAGAGGATACAAACCTCCAAACAGGATTCTGAAGGACATGGGCAGTAAATCCCTCCCTGTGCCTTGCAGCAAACAGAGTTTCAGATCTACTCCGAGTACTGCAACAACCACCCCAACGCGTGCCTGGAGCTGTCGCGCCTCGCCAAGGTGAACAAGTACGTTTACTTCTTCGAGGCCTGCCGCCTGCTGCAGAAGATGATCGACATCTCCCTGGATGGCTTCCTGCTCACCCCCGTGCAGAAGATCTGCAAATACCCCCTGCAGCTGGCCGAGCTGCTCAAGTACACCAACCCCCAGCACAGGTAGGCCCGGGAGGGCAGGGAAGGAGCCAGGATGCTCCCATGGGAATGGGCTCATGCTGGATCAGGCATGGAGGGCAGTGGCTAACTGCAGCCAGCTCAATTCTTACAGGTTGCCACGTAGAAACCAGGAAAAGAAGTATATTTATATGATTTTATAAAGTATATTTACATTACATAAGTTAAAATTATATATAATATAACTTATAATATTATATAAACTTATAATATATATAATATATAATATAATAATATATTATATATAATATATATAATATATTATATATATAATATATTATAAACTTATAATATTATATAAGTATACAACTTATAAAATATTGTAATAATAATAACTTATAACTTATTATAAGTCTATCATAAAAGTACATTTACATAATTTCCCACTACAGTAGCACTCAGCTTTCCTGTCACAGATTGAGATTTACAAGGTCCACTTTATAATGGCCCTTTCCTGTTTTATTTGGCTCATGTATCTGTGATACCAGCACATATATACTTTGGAGCTACATGTTTCTGGTGGTTGTGTTCAGAACTTTGCCTCAAAAAGCATTGGTTGAATATATCCCAAATGCCCACACAGCTGCACTTCACCAGGGGGAAGTTGTGCCCTGCAGCAGTCAAGCCATGCACACTTGGTGCCCTGTCATGCCAGCTCAAAGCCAGGGTGAAGGCACTGCCTTTGGCTCAAGTAACTTAATTAAGTACCTGAAAACATGAAAAATCTGTATGAAAGTGTTGATATTGCTCCATTGTGATTTGACTTAATTTCACCTTCCCAATTGCAGCCCTGGTGCTTCCCAGAATGGTTTCAAGCATGTCTTGTTCCTTAAGGAAGTGCACAGATGTTTTGAGAGTTGCCTTAGAGCCAAGTTGTGCAGCTCAGCTCCTTCCCAGCTGCTCTGAACTCAGCAGAGGTAGCTGGTGGCCACAGATAGATGGTGGGTGGGGGAGAGCAGATCAGCCTCTGTCCTACCCTGCCAGATAAACCATCAGCTCATGTTCAAAACAAGCCAGTTACTGTTGGACTGCTTCACCTGTGCACCACAGACCAGTCCCTGCATGGGAACAGCAGCATTGTGAATGACTTGTATTATGTTGCAGAAACAAAATGAGAACCTGGAGGTTCTTCCAGCAATTTGTATTTACACCTCTGTAGCTAAATTTGATGACTTACCCCCTTCCCTTCCCCAGAGGTGGCCTGGATTTGTTACTAGACTCAATAAACCCACACTGTCTCCCTGCCCAAGGAAGTCAGGCTCAATTCTTAGCTCCCTGCTCATGTGCCTCCTTTACACATAGAGGGAGGGGATGTCTGGGATGGAGCAGCTTTCCTGAGCAGACTCCCTGAAAAAGATTTTAAAAAGTGTAACATGCTATTGTTCTAATCAACATCTAATCTGTGCCTCAAAACCAGGGAGTGTCTGAGAGCTGCCACAGGAGCAGGCATCTCTGATTCCAGCACAGAGCAGCTGGGACAGACTGCAGGTGGCACTCCTGGATCCATCCCCAGCTCTGTGCCAGGCTGCTCTCTGCCATTCTGCCAAGCCTAAGGCCTCTGTCCCTCCCCAGGGATTTCAAGGACGTGGAGGCTGCCCTGAATGCCATGAAGAACGTGGCTCGGCTCATCAACGAGAGGAAGCGGCGCCTGGAGAACATCGACAAGATCGCTCAGTGGCAGAGCTCCATAGAGGACTGGGAGGTAGGGGACTTCCCTGCCCAAGGAATTCCACCTTGTTCCTCTTCTGCCCTCCCAACAGCTTCTCTACAGTGAGATCTCACTGCCTGGCCCCACCTGAGCTCTCTGCCCTTCTTTGTGGAGAGTCTGATTTTATTTAAACAGTTATGAGCTTTTAGTACAACTGAGCAGGTTTGGCATGTAACCCAGCTAGACCTTTGCATGTTCCCTGGGATTCCTGTTTCCCTGTTTTTAATTGCAGAATGAAATCACCATGTAGGTTAGTGGAATTTTATTATTTTTCTCATGCCCCCCACTTTATCTTGAGTGACTTCAAACTTCCAAGATGAGCAGAATCACTCCTTCATTCTTAACAAGCCAGGTTACTGTTGCAGAAAGGCAAGTTCTGGCATAGTCACAGAGGAAACCAAGGTAGACTCATTTAAAAAAATTGCTAAAGAAAAGAAACAAAATACTGATTTTCTAAATCCTAGACTCAATAAACCCACACTGTCTCCCTGCCCAAGGATGTCAGGCTGAATTCTTGGCTCCCTGCTTACGTGCCTCCTTTATGTCTGGGATGGAGCAGCTTTCCTGAGCAGACTCCCTGGAAAAGGGGATTTTAAAAAATCTAACAAGCTGTTGTTCCAATCAAATTCAGTTCCCACCCCCTGGGTGCCAAGGGCACAGTGTCTCCCTGATGTGCCAGGGACTGTCCTCCAGCACAGAGGCTGTCTCTCATTCCCACACCAGTTCTGTCAGCAGCAATTCAGGCTCCCACTTTCAGGCAAGGCTGAGACCAACCTGTTCTTTGTGCTGTTCTCAGGGAGAAGATGTCCTAGTCAGAAGCTCGGAACTCATCTATTCTGGGGAATTATCCAAAATCTCCCACCCTCAAGCCAAGAGCCAACAGAGGATGTTCTTCCTCTTCGATCACCAGCTTGTCTGCTGCAAGAAGGTAACCATGAGAGCTGGCTACTGCTGTGCTGATGGATTTAAGTGAACTCCCTCTCCACCCCTTTGTTTCCTTAATTCTTCCTGGCCTCATGTGCTCCTGGCACACTGTGCCTCTTTCCTCTGAGGTCCTGGGGTGTTCTGTGCACCGGAGCACAGCAATCAGCTACTGGCCTAATCCTCACAGCAAAAGAGGAAAGCACTGCACAGCTTCCGGGGTTACTGTGGGGTTATTCTGTACAACTCATTAATGAGTATTGTCACACAAGTTATTTTAATTACCTTGTTCTTCATCTGAACTTCCACCTTAGTGTTGTATTCAGAAAAAAGTGCAGATCTGATGAAAAGCTGTGGGCCTTGGCAGTCAGTAAGGCCAAGCTAACAGCACATGTAAGTCTGTAAGTACAGCTTTTTTCCATAAGCTGAGTAATTACAGAAATCTTCCTTCTTGGAGCCAATGAACAGTACCTTCCTCTGGAATTTCAGAACTGAATGTGCCAATTAGTTGTTGCATATTCCACAGCAAGCAGGTAGCTCCAGGTAACTTAGGTATGAAAATTTCAAAGTTCTCAAAGTTACTTTTCACTGTCAACAAAAAAACAAGAGCTAATTAGTATTATTTCTGCTTTTTAACTGTAACTGAAGGATTTAAATAGTGTTTTCTGTCAGAGGCTTAATGAGGATTTGGGACCATGTGTAACACCCATGCTTCAGGGCAGCAGATAGGCCCCAACACAGCCACCAGCCTGTCCTGACCCCACTGCCAGGACAAGCACTGTGGTTCCCTACAGTGGCCACAGCAGCTCAGCACTCTGCAGTCCCACAGACTCAAATCCACTGCTCATTTCTTTTACAGGACTGTAATGATAGCAGGAAGGTTAAATTCTCCACTGCATCCAAGAAACAGCAACATGTGTTGTGATCTGTCTTCCAGGACCTTCTGCGCAGGGACATCTTGTACTACAAGAGTCGGATCAACATGGATGACATGGAAATACTGGATGTGGAAGATGGCAAAGACAAGGACTTCAATATCAGTGTGAAAAATGCATTTAAGTTGCACTGCAGAGACACTGAGGAAGTCCATTTATTCTGTGCAAAAAAGCCTGAGCAGAAACAGCGCTGGCTGAAGGCATTTGAGAATGAGAGGAGGCAGGTGCAGCTCGACCAGGAGACAGGTATGGAAAGAGGCAATGCTGGGACACTGGGTTGGTTTTTTTTTTTAATCACTATTATTATTTTTGGCTTTTCATCTTTTTTTACCCATTGGCTAATGCCTGAGGAGTGAAAGGGTGGGGAAGCCATGCTCGAGGGCAGCTCTGGGCTGCTGAATTACACATTCTGAATGAATCTGTGCAATTAAAAAACTGCAAACCACCATAAGCTATCACTGGAGTTTGTCCTCTCAGGGAGGCTGATGTGTCTTAAGGAGTTCAAGCAGGGCTGACAAAATAGTCAGTACATTACATACAGGGTCCAGAACAGCATAGAACAGGTTCAGTCCAGGGTTCTCACTGTACAAGAGGGTTTGTGTTGTTTTGTCCAAATCTTTCTTAATTCAGCTTAGTGTGTTCTGAAAGATTTCAGCCACCAGTGGCCTGGAGTGGCTTCTCCCTGCAGTGCAGCATGGGCTGAGGGGCAGGCAGCAAACCCTGCAGGGGGTTTGGGCTGCCCAGCTGTGCCCCCCAGCCTTGGCAGCAATTGTGGCCTCTCCCCTCAGGCATTTGCCTACCCCTGTCTTCTCCTGAGGTACCCAATGATGACCTGCTGCTGACAGAAATCCGCTTTACCTTCCAGGATTTTCCATCACGGAGGTGCAGAAAAAGCAGGCAATGCTGAATGCCAGCAAGCAGCACCATGCTGGGAAGCCCAAGGGTGAGTCACACCTGAACACAGGAACACTGTGACAATGGGGGGTGGCTCTGTATTTATTACATGGGAGAGGCTTCAATGAAGTGACACTAACAAACTCTTGAGAAGGCCAGATGGTGACAATTTGCACTACAATTCCTGGTAGATGCAGATGGCTGGAGATTCTTAACTCCGGGAGAGCCACTTTGCACATAATCAGCACTCTGCCAAAAGCCAGCAGCTTCTCCTCCAGGCCAGTGCACAGCCTCTCCCTAGGAGCCAGGCTTTCCCAGCAGTATGGCATTCCCTTTGGCAAAAGGCAAGGTTTGTAGGAATCCCCATGGTGCACAGAGGGCCACAGAGGTCTCACAGCAGGGACTGTTCCTGCTGGGCAGCTGTGCCTGTGGGAGATGCTCTCAAACCTGCACCTTGGGCAGGGTGCCAGGGGCAGGAACCATGGGCAGAGCTCTTCATTCAACCTTCAGAGACAAGGACAATTAGCAGCAGCCAGGGGAGAGTGAAGTCAAGCAAAATAAAGGTTCCTGTGCCCACAGCCCTGTTGATGCCACCTTCCCCTTCTCTCTGTTCAGAGGAAGAGGTGTTGCTTGGTTCCTCTGAACCCACAGAGGCAACCACTTCCTCTTGGTGGTACCAGCCAGCACTTAATCCCCAGCCACATCTCCTGAAAGCAAGCTTGGCTAAATGTCAAAAAGGGCCAGAAATAAGATCTGGCTGCAAACAGGGGGAAGTTTAGAAGGAGACCAGACCATGCCAACAGAGCAAAGCCCTTGGGGCACAGCACTAGAGGAAACTGCACAGAGCAGCCTTGTCCTCCATGCAGGCACTGACCATTCCTAGTCAGAAATCCAGCCCAGGAGGTTGTGACAGGCACCAGCATCACTGGCACAGCAGCTGCTTCTCCCTGCACAGCCAAAAGCAGCAGCTAAGTTTGTCACCAGCCATGAGCTGTGCTCTCTAGCTCTGCTGTCGTTCTGAGCCTTCCACAAGAGCTCTAATCCTAAAAGGCCATGCTGAAAGTAAGGATAAATTGAAGGAAAGGTTACACTAAGACAAACCCAATTCACAGCCCTGCAGCTCTAACGGGGACTGGGGAAGGCAGAGTGGGGGGAAAGCAGCTAAGCTTGTGTTTGACTAACATGCTCCCCATCTCCTCCTCCTCCCAGCTGTCACCAGGCCCTACTACGACTTCCTGATGCGGCAGAAGCACCCCACCCTGCCCACCACGCTCCCTCAGCAGCAGGTCTTCATGCTGGCAGAGCCCAAGCGCAAGCCCTCGAACTTCTGGCAGAACATCAGCAGGCTGACACCCTTCCGGAAATAGGGGCAGCCCCGTGTTTGTGCCTGAACCCCTTCTGAGAAAGCACTTTATCCGTCACTCCTGGCAGGTGGAGCCCAGGCTCATCCAGCCCTGTGTTTACAGAGGATGGCACAGGTGCTCCTGCCTCCCCTATTTATTTTGCAGCCCTGCTGACCCGCTGGCTCCGGGGTGAGGCCGCGTGGGCCAGCCCTGCAGTGCCCAGCAGCAGAGCTCCAGGAGCGTGCAGCAGGGAGCTGGACAGGCTGCAGCCCCAGAGATTTACCTTGTCAGCTCTACTTGGACTCACTCGTCCCGCTGTGCCCACTATGCTGGCTGGCAGCTGCCACAGGGGAGGGCAGCTGATGGACCCGCTGGCCCCGTGGCCACTGCCCTGCTCAGAACAACAGTTCGGAGTCCGTGACGAGGAGGGATGAACCCTTCTGCTCTGCCCAGCCCATGCCCTGCATTTCTCAGAGCTGTGATCCTCCTCCACGTGTCCAACGCACTCAGCAGCCTCTGCAGGCCCTCAGAGCACAGTGAGCACTGCACTGTGACCTCCTCCTCCCTTTAGTGCAACAGCACCGCTGAAAGGTGTCCTACATTAAACTGTGCCAACCTGCAGCATGAGTCAAGTTGAAGAATCTCTCTAGTGGGTTTCAGTTACATAAGTTAGAGAAAAATGTGCCTAATTAATACCATACTCAATTCTTTAAATTCTCGTCTCTCCATCATTCTGCCATATTTCCTGGCCAATGAAAATGCTCATTGTTTGTAATGTGTTTATTTATGGTAAAAATCAGAACTGTGTATTTTGTAAGTCTGTAATTGTTCTTGTCAGATGTTGTTAACTTGATGCCTGTTTTGTCTGTTTAATTTTTCTTTTCTTTTTTTTTTTAAAGAAAGGTCAATATTTGCAAACCTAGCTCCCAGAAGTCAGAGTCTGCTGTTCAACTCTGCAATGTCATTGTTATGCAAACTCCCACAGACCCTCAAATTCAAGGAGTGTTACTGACACTTTTAAAAATGGAAAACCACTTGATAAAGGCCTAAATTTGGCATAAGGAGCCTCACTTTAAGTACCCAAGTTTCAATGGTGGCCAAAAAGAATGAATTTAAACCTTGGTTAGCAAAAAGAAAGATTTGCCTTACCATAGTGAGAGTTAGAAGCCATACTGACTGAATTCCCTAGATTAGGAGACATCCTGTGACAGTGGAAGGAAGACACTGGCTCATTCCAGCTCAGGTGTGAGTGAACACTGCAGAGCTCAGAAATCCAGTGTTTGTTGATGCTGTAGCTGACCAAAGTCTGGTCATCCAGGGATATCTGAATTCAGTAGCATGTACAAAGTCCTTCTTGCACTATATCTTCCCCCCAGACCAGGGGCAACATTTAATTTCATAAAGAAACTTGTAAAAGTGACTCTCAGCCTGTGTTTGTCTCCAGCCCGTCTCTATCTGTGTGAAGCTGTTTCTTTCCAAAGTCACTGTGGGGATTGTGCTCTGGCAGCTCCACCAGGGGCTGCTCAGCCACAGGGGCCCTGCCAGGTGACCTCAGAGCAGCCATCCCAGCTGTGGGGACACAGGGACATGACCTGGGGTCACTCTCTGCTCTGGGGAGGACACTGGGTCAGTGCTGGGAGGGAGGGGGGGGGCAAAAGGAAAAAAAAACCAACCAAAACCACTAAGAAGCCACTGAGATCAGGCAGCTACAGCAGTATTAGCACAACATACACCCACAGACATCAAGAGAGAGACACAGGGACACTGAAAGACACCCAGAGACACACGTGGCCCAGCAGAAACACCAAGGCACTGCCAGGTGGGTACAGACACCCACGGGGGGAGATGGTGACCAAGAGACCCTGACACACAGAGACACACACACACAGGTAATGCCAGACAGCTGCAGCCAGCACCACTCATAACAGAAGACAATTGTCATTTCTGTGTTTACCCTAATGTCTGCACCCTCCTTTCCTTATCCATGGCATGTTTGTTTTGATTGGCCAGGAAGAAAACCTGTTGGCACTAAAATGATCAATTTTCTCAGCTTACCATCAGCCTTGTAGTAAATGGAGGGTGGTGGAGGGGCAGAGGACAATCCCCTCCCCAACAGATACAGGATCACACCCCCCACACGAGCATGGCCAGCTGTGACAATGCATCAGGTTGCTCATAGCCTTGTCCAGCTGCTATCTGGGTTCACTCAAGGATGGAGATTCTCCTAAAACCTCTTTATATCCCTGCTCAAAACCACTCTGTCCCCATTGTGAAGGAAGTGCTGACATCTATTCAAAGCTCCCCTTGCTGCATCTGGTTTGAGACAGAATGCTGCTCAATATACTCAGCTTTACCTTTACAACGAAGTCACTGGTAGAAATCCTCACCTCTTCTCCAAGGGAAATGGGGTGAGAGTGGCACAGGACCACGGAGTGCAACAACCCTGCCCTTCCTCCCCCCTGAAACACACACAAGAATTGGCTACTATTACTTACCTGTGTAGCAATACTCTGAACAGTAAATATGCATCCAGTGGTTAAAATAATCACATCATTTATCAGCTCTTCCACAAGTGGCTGCATCTCTGACCAGTGCGCACAAAGGATTTACAGAGACACTTTTTTTACAGAAATTTCTGAAGTGCCAAACCAGACTTCTCTGGCCAGACAGCATCCCAGTCAATGGGCAGTTGATTACTTCTGGAAGAATTTTACTCTCCACTTGACTATCAGTACTCTTTCTAAAAAGTGTCCTCAGTTGGGATTCTAGTCTTGAATGCCACATTAGGATCCAACCCCCTATGCAAGACTGAGATCAGGTAAAAAAGCTGATCACACAAAGTGGTGGAGTTACAGCAGCAGCACAGAAAACAGGTAAGGCTCAAACCCATAAACCCATTGTGCTCAACATGCCCAGCCCAGAGTCTGCTCTGAAGAGGATTTCATCACAAAATACCATCCTTAGTTTAACAGCCAGCACCACCTCCCAACTCTCACCATAACCCTCGGTGTTTCCTGAACAAACTGTCACAGATCAGGTGTAACCTCCTTAGGTTTTAAGTGATCAGACACTCAAAGTTACCTCATCCCCCAAGTTGCTCATTAAATGGCAAAGTGTACCTGTGTGTGAGATGGTAACAGATTAACCAAGCCCAGACTTCCCTGCTGCATCTGGATTTGGGCTGGAGTGGCTCCCACTGCTCTGCCAATGGACAGAACTGGGGTGAACCCGTGTGCAGGCTGGACTGGGGGTGTGCACAGCGAGCAGATCCCAAGGGCATCAGCTAAACTTGTGAGAATGGGATTTCTGGCTGGCCAAGCACTGCCTCTGACAAGCTCTCTGAGCTAAATGGACAAGACCATCGTGCCAGTTTCACAAAAGTGTCCATTTGAACCATCAAGAATCAGAAGTGTGAGATATCAGCAACCTTTTCTCTGGAGCTGAACCTTCAACAGGGGCCAGAAATGCAGATTTGCATACAAAACAAACTGAAGCTCCTGATGTGAGTCCGAACACCACCAATCCTCCCGGATTTTAGGGTAGAACCAGCTGAACTGCTCAGAAAAATAGTTCTGCATTGAGTTACATAAAGAGGACAAAGAGACTGAGTCAGGGGTGGTTTGGATTTTTTTTAGGGGTGTTGGTTCTACCTGTTCCTCTCCTTCTGTAGATATCCATTTAGGAAGCTTCTTGCAAAAACAGCCATGATTCTTAATGACCTAAATCTGCCCAGATTTCATTTGGCCAAATAAAACACAGTATTATGCAAAGGCTGTGAATCAAATGAAAGAATGATTTACTGAAGCTACCAGTTAAATGAACCAGTGGCTACTAAATAACACAGTCTGTGCTCTGACCAAAAAAAAAAAAGGAAAAAAGCCTCTATTTTAAACTATTAGTTTAGAATAGTTTCAGACACTGTGGGTGTATATACTGTTCAAGTTCTAATAGCACCAAAACCAGCACGAACTGTCTTTGTGCTAACTCACAGTAAGAACTAGGTCAGTTCCCATGGAGAGAAGAGTTCCCCCAAAGCAGCCTTTAATATCTCTCCTGTTTTGTCCATTCCCTGAAGGACAGTGGGGTGTCAGCTGGGGAGGAGCCCCATCTTGTGTCCAGCAGAGTCCTTGGCTCACCGAGTACACTGCAGGAGATTCCCACTGTGCAGGACACTGCAGAGCCAGCACAGCTCTGTCACCAGGAGCCAACCATGTGCCAACCATCTGCACCTGGGTATCCCAACTGCTTCCCAAAACCACCTGAAAACCAGGCCTCACTGTCACCAACAGGGATAACTCAGAATCAAGGCACCTGCCAGTAACAAAAGAATCTCAGCTTCAGACTGAGAACACTTCATTTCTTTGGATGCCAGAATGACAGAAATTAGCTTTTTTAAAATAAAAAGGCCTTTCACCTGATGTGTCAAAATGTCAGGCTGTGCTCCTCCAGATTCACTGTCGTGGAAGCACACCTTCATGTAACAGCATCATTCAAGAAGTCTGTGGCAAGACTGGTATGCAACCATCAGTCTTTTGAACAAGCACTGCACCACTCACCTCCCAGACTGGAGCTGTCAGCACCTGGCAGGGGGGCAGCACCCAGCAAGTGCTGCTTTCTTCTTCATTGTTATTACTTCAGTTGTTTTAATTCTCCTGGCAAGTCCCACCACGTACATGTCATGAGGGTTATGGGCATTGCAAAGCCCACCTGGACAGTGAACGTGGTACAACAGCAACTCCTCAAGCTTTAAGGAGGGAACTACTCACACCTCATTCAACTGCTGCAGCCTCAGCCTGTGCCTGCTGCTGCTCACATTCTCTGCCAAAGGGTGGGGACGTGCCACTGCTACTGACATTAGCAGTACCACACTGGTACAAGCCAAAATATCACCCAGAATGTCCTGTACCAGTCTACCAGCAGGAACTCCCTGTCCCAGAGCTCCCAGCCTAAGCAAAGCTGTAGGGTCAGCTCTTCAGGTAAGTAATGGGTTAAAGAATAAGAACTTTGATAGTGGAAAAAAATTAACTGAAAAAAACAGAAGTGTTTTCAGCTGATTTTAACCCCCTGAAGACACAGTGGTGCTCTTTCAGTTGGACAGTGTGGGGAGGGACTCAATCTTCCAGGCTGCAGTGATCCATCAGTGCCAGAGTGGAGGCAGGGCAAGGTGCAGCCAGCAGTGGGACCTGGCACCAGACAGGAATGCCTCCAGGGGACCACAGCTCCAAGCAGCAGCGTGGAGTCACCTCCTTTCCAGTCCCAGCCACACAGCTACAGGCTCTGCAGAAGCCAAAGGGTGCTCCTTCCTTCCCAGCCACAGCAATCCCAGCTGCCCTGCCTTGCCATTCACACCTCACACCTGATTTCTCCCATGTGTCTCACACATGTCCTTAACAAGCTACATGACTAAAATCCCGTGGCTTTGGCAGTGCTGGCACTTCTAGGAAAAATACAGGCTGCTTGTTCTTTTTGCTTAACATTCCTGTCATCTTTCCCCCTGCAACTACACCCCTCCTCTCCCCACGTCCCGAGCTTCTCTTTTGCACAAGTTTGCTACCAAAGCAGCTCCCTGTTTCACAGCCTGTGCAAATGAAATACCTGTGGTACTTACCCCAGAGCTGTGTACCTTTGTGTGTGACTGCCTACATTTACAGTTGTGAGATGGGAAATAAACAAGCTACCAACTTGAAGTCTTGTATCATTCTGTAATCCTTCCAAAAGCATTAACTACTGACTATAGAGCAGCTATGGAACAGCATTCTGCTTACAAATTCCTTCTATCCTTCCACACCTACTTCTTTCCCTTTTCTCCTAAGCAGCACCCACTCATTACCCAGGCTGGATAATAATTTATGGCTTTTTTCTTTAAACTCCAGTAACCTGAAATAATATACTTGCTATCTAAATCACATCATCAAGAAAAACCTCATCCCCAAATACAGCCACGTGTTCCCTGAAGCAGAGGGAGCTGCATTGAGCTCAGCTGGGCACTTCACATGATCACAGTTCTTACAAGCTGGCAAAAGCAAAACTTGGGGAAGGTGTGTTCCCCTTCCCCTTTCTGAAGAATCAATTTGCCCACATATTTTACCTTTCTTGCCCAGAAAAGAAAGCTATTGTAAAACACTACAAAGTAGATTACTATAGCCCAAAAATGAAGGCAGAGTTTGGTACTTCAAGCTGACAGCTGAGCTGCTCATTGTCAAGTTCTTTCTGTCACATTTGTGTTGGATCTCTTAGCCACCAAGGACTACAGCTGGGGTTCCTGTACCCACGAGGCTCAACAGTCTCCCCTCCACATCTGCAATTCTCCCTGTGACACAACCCAGCTTCCCACAGCTGCCAAAGACTTCTGGCTGCTCTTGAAAATAAACATTAAAAACTAAAGTCATCACATGGCCTCCATTCTATTCCGGATGATTA